ATTTCTTTCTATTTTTAGTAGAGACAGGGTCTCGCTCTTGCTCAGGCTGGTTTCGAACTCCTGAGCTCAAACAATCCGCCCGCCTCGGCTTCCCAGAGACCTAGGATTACAGGCGTGAGCCACTGCGCCCGGCCCAGAGTTGTTTTTCTTAGTGTCTTGTAGTCATCTGACCAAAAAGAAAAACATACTGTGGAAATCTTGATATGCACAGCGGTGATTTAAAATTTTCTTTCCTTTCTTTTTTTTTTTTTTTTAAAAAAACAACCAGGGTCTGTGGTGGGAATCCGGTTACCTGCTCCTTCCAAACCTTCTGAGACTCCACCATCTTCCACTTCGTCCTCTGCTTTTTCTGTCATGAATCCTGTAATTCAGGCTGTTGGTTCTTCAGCAGTGAATGTTATCACTCAGGCACCGTCACTGCTTTCCTCTGGACCTAATTTTGTGTCTCAGGCTGGCACATTGACCCTGAGGATTTCTCCTCCTGAACCACAAAGCTTTGCAAGTAAAACAGGCTCTGAAACCAAAATAACTTACAGCTCAGGAGGACAGCCTGTTGGTACAGCCAGTCTTATTCCTCTCCAGTCTGGTAGTTTTGCTTTGCTGCAGCTCCCAGGACAAAAGCCTGTTCCTAGCTCCATTCTTCAACATGTTGCTTCCCTTCAGATGAAGAGAGAATCCCAGAATGCAGATCAGAAAGATGAAACAAAGTCTATAAAAAGAGAGCAGGAAACTAAGAAGGCTCTGCATTCTGAAGGACAAGCTATAGACCCTGAGGCTAATATAATAAAGCAAAACTCAGGAGCTATTTTCTCGGAAGAAACCCTGAATGATTCCTTGGAACATGGAGGAGATCATTTGGATGAAGAATCCCTTACAGAAGTTGTTTCTGCAACTGTCAAACCTGCTGAGCACTCCTATATTACTGGGTCACATACAGATGAAGACTGTAAAGATGTTAATGAAGAGTGTGGGACTAGGAATCATAACAGTTCAAAGGAAAAACTGACCATTCTTGAAGTTAGGACCATTTCTGAAAAAGCCAGTAATAAGACAGTCCAAAATGTAAGTAAAGTACAGCTTCAAAAACTTGGTGAGGTGAAGGTGGAACAGCAGAAAGGATTAGATAATCTGGAGGAAAAATCAAATGAATTTCCAGTCATCTCTAAGGAAAGAAGTAAACTCGAATTTTCAGGGAGCAAAGTTGTGGAGCAGCAATCTAATCCACAGCCAGAGGCAAAGGAGAAGGGATGTGGAGACTCTCTGGAGAAGCACAGCATTAGGGAAAGATGGAGAAAACATCTGAAGGGCCCCTTGACACGGAAATGTGTTAGAACTTCACAGGAATGTAAGAAAGAGGCAGATGAGCAGTTAATTAAAGAAACAAAGACATGTCAAGAAAATTCAGATGTGTTTCAACAAGAACAAGGCATCTCTGACTTATTGGGAAAAAGTGGAACTACTGAGAATGCCAGAGTTTTAAAAATGGAATGTGATTCTTGGAGTAGGATTTCTAATCCTCCAGCCTTCTCCATTGTTCCTAGAAGAGCTACAAAAGGCAGCAGAGGGAATGGACATTTTCAGGGTCATTTACTACTACCAGGAGAACAGATAAAACTAAAGCAAGAGAAGAAGGGTAGGAGAAGCAGTGCTGACTTCACTGTTTTGGATTTGGAAGAGGATGATGAGCAAGATGAGAATGAGAAAACCGATGATTCTATTGATGAAATTGTGGATGTTGTTTCTGACTACCAGAGTGAGGAGGTTGATGATGTAGAAAAGGTGGTGAGCCCATTTTTATTGTGACTGAAACCTCAAGGATTTAAATGATTTATTAGAGACAGTAGCTTTTCCAGAAGATCAATAAGACCTAATACATTCTGTTGGATTCCTAGGTTTAGATCATGATTAAATGACTTTGTAATTTTTAGGTCATGTCAGTCAGGCAACATTTATTGAGCTTGTATGATTCATTGAGACTTGTCTGGTATTATGGGAAGGCTGCCTTAAGCCTTTGGGAGATAGGTGCTCGAGTCCCTACCAAGTTGAGTTTTTTAAAAAAAATCCTGAAATCATTATTCGCATTTGATCTCAGTTTCTGTGACATTTTCTATGTGAGGTGATTATATTATAGCTTTTCTGGTAGATGTAATAAGAAACAGGAAATGGGTGACCTTAGAACTGGAGGAAAACTTACCCACCTGCATTTTAGGGAGAGGTTTTCCTTTTTGGAAAAAAATTAAAAAATACCTTCCATCTAATATTTTAATATAATCCTGCCTTAAAGTTGCTTTTTAATTATCTCCTAAAATTAGTTGTTTAGTCTCTACAACTTATGTTCTAGACTTTGGTCATCATCCTTTGTAATACGACCTATATAGTTTTTTATTTTCCTGAAATACTTTTATAGGCTTCCTATTTAGGATTGTATTTACTGAACTAAATAACTGTAAGTTGGGTATGATGTAGGGAAGGAGTTGGACAAACATTTTCTGTAAAGGGCCAGATAGTAAGTATTTTAGACTTTGCAGGCTAGATGGTTCTCTGTTGCAACTAATCAACTGCTGTTGTAGCATGAAAGTAGCCATAAGTGAACGAGTGTAGCTGTATTCCAGTAAAACTTCGTTTACAAAAACAGGTGATGCTCTGTGGTTTGCTGACCCCTGACATACAGTCTGATGTAAAACATAAGGAGACCAGAGCCAGGTGCCTGTGGGGTGCCCTGGAACCTAAACTCTGTCCTCTTCAACAGCAGATGACAGCCCTCTGCACTGATTGTTATGCAGCTGGTTGTTTTAGAATCTCACTTGAGATCATTCAGCCTCTTTGTTATCTGGTCCTTTTCTGTTAATGCCTAACTGCCTTAAGCAGATAAAATATAACAAAAAGATTAGTATTTTAAAACCCTAAAATGTTTAAATGTTCTAATGTTCCTCTATCGCCTGTTTCTGTACCTCAGTTGTCTCATTTGTAAACAAGGATCTAGCTCTAAAATTGGATAATTCTGTATGCATTTGCCTTATATTCTCTCTATAGCCTAATCCTTTTCAAGGATGGATATCTGTAGGTAGCTGAAGAATCTAAATTCATTGAGTTTAGGAGTTATACTGTAGATCTTACTGTGTTTTTTGCAGTCTCCCATTGTAAGTCAGCCCAGGTAAACAGCAGACCAAAAAACAGTCCAGCTTTAAAACCAGTGAAAACTATTGCTGTCAGTGGAACTGACTTAATAGAACCTTTAGAGTGTCTTAATCATCCAAGGAGGCATTGCTTGAATGTACTAATAGAGAATGAGACAAACAAGTTACACTGTTTTTTTAAAGTAAGGGTGTTACATTAAGTGATCTCTAAAATCTAAATTCTACATTGTATTTATGTGCATTTCCCACACCTATGGTTTGTTTTTTTTTTGGAGACAGAGTCTCACTCTTTTGCCCGGGCTAGAGTGCCGTGGCGTCATCCTAGCTCACAGCAACCTCAAACTCCTGGGCTCAAGCGATCCTCCTGCCTCAG